CCCCAAATAGAACTCGCGATCCTTGAGTCCGCCGGCCCATGCTCCAACCGCTGAGCAAAGCTGGACAAGGCGAAATCTGCTTTTTAAAAAAATCCTCGCCCTCCCCACGTGGAAATCTGTGCTTGTTTCTCAATAAATTTCCATCTTTTCCTATAAAAAGAGAAAACCCTCACCCGAGGATGTATTTTTTATTGATTTTAGAGGAAGGGGGAGAAAGAAACATGGGTCGCTTGTATCTTGAGCAGAACTGGAGCTGGCCTTTAGAACTGAGTTAGCCTTCTGAATGGGGGCGATACTCCAGCCACCTGAATCACACTGGCCTGCGTGAGCTCTGCCCTTTAAAACAAAGTGAAAGTGGAAGGAAAGAATGAAAAACAGAACAGGGAGAGCCAGCCTCCTGGAAGCGTGCCAGCTGTGCCAAGGGAACCGATGGTTTCTTCTCGCTTGAGAAGCAGATATTAACTCTTTCTTTGAACAACCACTTTTCCCCCGAGGGGGGTGCACCGTTCCTGGAGGTACTGCAATACCAGGTCGATGCGTGGAGTGGACGGAGCAAGCTCCTATTCCATCTCCTAATCCCAAAAATCCATTTAATATATTGTCCTCGGATAGAGGACGTATCAGATATTAAACTGATAAGAACAGATACTACACTTGATCTTAGCCAAAAGGCCGAGAAGCGATACTGCAGTCCTGGACTCCGCGCCAGGCTTGCCGTTACTGTAGCTTTACAACTTGTGGTTACTTTTATGGCCTAACGATTAGATTGTTTTCAGTACGTCATATTTCTTAAACCCAGTTTTTTGTATTATTATTTCTTAAAAATAATGGCAGATTGTTGGAAACAGACTTAAAATAGAATTCTTTACTGCTTTTCCCATGCGCTCCCTGCTGGGTGTGTTTTGCATAAACCCGCCCCTCCTCTTTGTAACAATCTTGGGATTGGTCCACATACAAGTCGTCATTTCAGTGCCTCTTTGTCTCTTCTCCCGGACTGTGGGTTAGTCTTGCGTCCTGATGGGCCGTGGGGGCGGCTGGCGGGGTTTCCGTCGGTGGGTTGAAGGTGTAGCGGGTGGCGGTGGCCCCCTCTGCGGGACACGTTTGAAGAGGCCGTGGTTCCGAGCCCAGACCTTGGAGTCCAAATTGCTGAGTTGGAATCCTGCTCCTTAATTCCTCCAGGAGGCGCAGGTCCCTGTTAAACGGGGAAATCCTAGGGCGCTGAGGCGGTGGTCTGAGACGTGAGGACACAGGGCAGGGCGGACTGAGTTCTCCTCGCATCCTGGCTCCTTTCTGTGCTCCTCCCTGACCTGTCACATCCACCCCGTGGGGCAACGGGGCCTTTCAGAGGTTCCTGATTCCAGCACCCAGGATCCAGCGCTGGGAGAGGGGGTGGAGCCGGTGTAGGTCATAAATGAGCAATTCTTTTATAGGCTCAGAGCAAAGGCTTCAGGAAGGGACTAGAGGCCCTGTGCATCGCAGTGGGAGGTGGCGGGGAGGGGAGTTCCTCAGCTTCGCCTGCACCCTCTCGCAGTCTGGGACCCCTTGCTCCTTACCGCCCCCTGCAGCGGAGATGGGAGAGGCTCCACCAGTACCTGCGGGCTTGCCAGTCTCAGCCTAGCTTCTGGCTCCTGGGTTGAGCGTCTGCCCCCTGGTGGTCATTCCACTGTTTGGTTGATTTGCATGTCAGGGTTTAATTATATAGGACTAGAAGCCCATTGCAGGAGGATTCCTGCAAGAATAGCGCTTCCTCGGCTGATGCTGCTGCCAAGCCCCTGCCGCCCAGGGCCGCAGATGGGGGTCTGGGCTGGGGGTGGGGCTTAGGCCACACAAGGGCCGGATGGCTGATGATGCTGAATAATTTGTTTAGTTTTTTGGATAGTATAAATATTCATGTTTAAAAACAAAAGTAAAGGGGGAGATATGGGGCGCGGCTACAGTGCTTTGGCCAGGTTCAAGCCTGGACTAATGAAAGGACAGGGTCCTCTCATTGCCACGTGCAAATCCCAGCTGGAGGACAGGGCCCTCCCAGCACAATCATAGCCAACGGCTGTGGTTGTGAGCTTGAACCTATGGTCTGAACATGTGACCCCACGTGCCTTGTAATAGAGCTCGGGTGCATGTAGTTGAGTGAGGTTGAGACTCACGAGAATGCTGTAAACAACTTGATCACACCCCTACTTTGCCTCGTGGCATCTGCTATAAAATAAAGACACGGCTTGTGGGCGCTGGCACTGTCTCATCAGGGAGACCCAGCTTTCATTCTCTTACCTGTCTTTCCTTAATCCTTTCACCCCCCCACTCAGTTTACCTTTGGCCGCAACATATGGCGTCCGAGCAGGGACTGGGTTCTGCGATTAGGGACCGAGTTTTGGGCGCAACAGTTCTGACACAAAATGCATAGTTGGCCCTTCATTATCTGCAGGTTCCACACACGAACTAATTGCAGATGGGTTTTTTTACACTTACACCATGAACTCCCAGGAAGTGGGTACCATCACCCTAGGCTCCTTCCACTGGCTCTCAGGTGCACTTCTCCGGGTGGAGCAGGCTGACCCTCCCTCCAATTGAACCCAGATTTTACAAGGGTCCTGAGCATCCTTGATCTTTGGTGCCCATGAGGATCCTGGAAACAATACTCCAGGGTAGAGGGAGACCTTACCCTAAAATTCACATATGCAGAACCCCCAAAAGAGGTGGCAATCCTTGAGTTCATACCCATTCTGTGTGCAGCGGAGATGGGAGAGGCTCCACCAGTACCTGCGGGCTTGCCAGTCTCAGCCTAGCTTCTGGCTCCTGGGTTGAGCAGTAGTAATATAAGGACCATCACTATCTGACAACTTGCACCCCAAGGGCCCAGTGCAGTGTGGGCCCGTGTGCATGTTAACCACG